CGGGCCACGGGTATTGAACGCAAGATCATACGAGAGGCGTTGGAATACGCCGGCGGCGTGCTGACGATGCGGTCAGAACGGCCATCACTACTACGATTGCCCGACCCAACACTACTGGACTTGCGGCCGACGGGGCGTACGGACCATACAATGTTGTCGACCGGGAAATCACGAAGGAGCGCATCACCAGTGAGGGGAATTGGTTCGGGAATCGTTTGAGGTTAAACTGCAATGCGCCAGCAAGACGGCTACGTGTCAGCCGAACGAGCCTAGCACCGACAGGTGAGCTTGCCGCTAAGGCGATGCAGAACCAGACATATCACAGAGCCAATGCGCCCTTCGAAAGCCCGCAAACTGTGATAGACGACCATCATATAACTGAGAGGCAACGATTGAAAACCGAGGAAGAGCACCGCCGCATTGAACGCTTCCTGCAGCAAGAGTTGTCAAAGTTCGCGAATTTGCAGGGAGCCACCACCATCGCCGAGCACAAGATCGTCGTGAAAGACGACCGACTGTTCAAACGACGATACGCCTCCGGCAACCCGGCTATGCACCATTACCGGAAAACAACAGCACCCTGCTCTGCTCCGGTAACAAGCTCTGCACCATTATCGACAGTAACGCCCTGCTCCGCACATGGAGCAGGCTCTGTGGCCACGTTCGGCCCAACACAACTGCAGCAGCAAGCGATAGCGCCACACCGAAGCCGTCACCGACCGGCCAATACCGGAGAGGCGCGTCATCAGCCACTTCTCTTTCTCCCGAAGAACGGAGGATCTGTGAGGACCCAAAGTCGTCCCCCATTTTGGCCTCACGGGTTCTCCGTCTCTGATTGGGGAGAGAGGAGTGCTAGAGAGTAAGATAGGACAAAAGTAGGATAGACGTAGTATAAGAATAGGATAGACATAGGATAAGAATAGATTAAGATAGAATAGAAATAGATTAAGATAGAATAGGAATAGATTAAAATAGGTTAAGAATAGGATAGGTCAGATTAAGCGTAGGTTAAGGATAGGTTAGGTGAGTTGGAATTCAGTTGCCGGCTAAGAGAGACGTAGTTTTCGAGTCATAGTAGTCGGAGTAAGATTTAGATTACAAATACTAAAAATAAAGATCCCTGCAAAATACAAATTTCTTGTGCGTTTCCATTACCCTGGGCCGCTGAGCTTTCCCAGCCTTTAGGAAAGGGACGGAAACGTCCTCGCAACTCTTATTATTTTTAATATTTTCGGGAATATGTATGTAAAAATATTTTAACGTTTTATTCATGAGGTTTAAGGGGTTGAAGACCTAAGTTTGAGAATCCCAGATAAAAATGTAGCCGAACGGGGATCATAGGTAGGATACACCACAGATCGGCTGTGGGTATGAAAATTGATTGTTCAAAGTTAGTAATGATTGTGGGTGTTTTACCTACAAACAGTTGACTAAACGAAAACATGTATTCGAAAATTCAACGCTTTCTTTATAAAACCATTTTGAAGCACTTCTTACTAATGTCTTGATTTGCAATTCATTTGAAAGTAGTATACAAAGTATACCTTATAGTGTAGTGATATTTAATAATTTAAGTAGGTAGTGTCGTGGGACTGAGGTTTTCCTATTAATCCAACGTAGTGAAAGTGTAAAGTGAGCAGATGTGTGTACTTGTGTTCCAAACCTACTTGGCTGTCTATGCCAAGACATGCACTCTTTCAGTTCCCAAAATTGATTTGGCCGAGAGCGTCACTATTAAAAAAAAAGTTAGAATATTGATTTGACTTCTTGTATGCCAAGACAAGTTCGATTTGAAGTCTTCAAAATTAAGTAGCTTCACTAATAAAATGGATATACTAATTTTCTTTAACTAAAATTGCATAAAATGGCCTGTTTATAATTTTTGGTAATGGGCGCTTATTGTAAACATAATGCTTGCGGTTATTTTTTGAATAAGTACATTTTTGAAAGTGTGCCACCTGATTTAATTTTTCATTTTTTTTTCTTTTTATTTTATTTTTACCTATCTGTGGCTGCACTCTACATCGTACATACACTTCAATTGCTAAATGATATCATATGGTGCTATACAAATATATAAAATAAAAAATATCAGTTTCCAGAGCCTTTTGCTTTTTCATTATAAGATTAATCCCTACAAAAAAGAATTATTAATATTTGTAATTGACCTGTAAGTACCAGTAACATTTATTGAAATGACTACAGCCAAACGGCTTTATCCGGCAAACATTAAATTTAATTTTTATGGAAACTTTCTAAGCTAGAGCTTTCTTTATAAATTTGTTGTAAAATTTGATCCATAGAGAAGTTGAAGTTTGCTATAAATTTCGGACGGCTTTTTGTCTCCTCAGTTAAAATTCGGTCCAACTTCTTATTTTCGCTATACGTATGTCTGTCTATTAGAACTTTTTGAATTCGGCGTACTTACATGTATTGGGTGAACTTTGTATGAAGTCGCTCTTATCTCGTACGGAAGAGCTGTTATGTGCCGTTCATGTCTTCCGCTACAATGCACCTGTGGTTGAATTCCATATTTCCGTAGATGAACCCCGTTTCAGTTGGTAAAGAATTACGGTAGCTTGACTCTTGAAGCAGCTATCTCTAGCGGATCTAGCTCTGGTTGGGTGTTGGTGTTATCTAAGGGTTTTGGCAGTTTTAACTCATTGGGTGGTGTTAAATAAATGCATGACGTGTGTTGTTTGTGTATCAACATGTATAAAGGAGCGTGTGTAGCTGTAGCAGCATTTAGAATTCCTTTCTTCACGGGATCGGCAAGATCGTACTTGTTTTGGATATTACATTACAGTAATTGTATTAAACGGTCGTCCTTTAGTTAAATGATCTATTGGTTATTATGCTGTTATTACGGCTTCTAATTGAGTAAAGATGATTTCAGTTGTGTCTGTCATTATGCTAATAAAAAATCCTCGAAGTTATCGCTAGCGTCATCATGTAAGCAGCCGACAATGAAGTGGACGATAGTCACCAACGAAATTTAATCATGTAAGCAAATTTGCTGGTGATTGTCGCCCAATGCGCTCCCAGAGTTACCTTAAAAAAGGGCCACAATGAATTTCCCGTCGCTGCGACCAGATTTGCATTTGTATTGAGTATAAACTAAGAAAAGTTACCACAAGCTTCTCTTTTAGAGTTGCGTTTCTAGAAAAACTTTAATTAAATTTTTGTATATGAATCGATAGCCTGTGCTACTAGTGTTCAATGTCTTTTTTTTTAGTCTAAGCATTTACTTCATTAGTCTAAAATTATAATAATTATAATAATAATATTTTTGTATATAGATTTATTGAGTAGAAGTAATGCCGGTAATTGAAATGAGTTTTGACTTAATTTTTTGTTATTTTGAAACGATGTCTCCGCTTTGACTTTGCGGTGATCGATGGGTGTTGTTTAATGTTGGCTGAATATGAACTTCGTTAAAAATTGATCGTTTTTTTTAAATTATCTAGATGGGATTGTGATTACTGAAATAGATCGCCTTGAGCAAGTTTGATCTAAATGCCATTGGTTCCTGCTTCTTATTTTAGTTTTGCCGGATCGCCAATTTTGGAGGTATAATAAGTATCGCAAAACCATACTACACCAACCATTTGCAAAAGTATGATAGTATTTGTGGGTAAGTACAAAATTTCTGTAATTTCTTTTCTATTCGGAACAGTTATTTTTCACAACTGACACTTGGAAAATAGAAACAAGAAAACACAGTTTGACAAATAATAACTGTTCAAACTTAAAAGCTTAGGGATACACTTTCATATTCGAATATTACATTAGAAACTTACAATATTGTATAAATATGAAAAGTAAAAATAGAAAAATGTCATATACCAGAACGTTTTCAATCGTTTATGTGCTTTTATAATAGGATGAGTGCATGACAGAGAACAATTACTAATATTTATAAATTCTATAAATATTTTATATATAAATAAATTATTTTGGGTCTTAAAACGGCTTACTTTTCCATTTTATTTCACTCTATTAAAAATTTTATATAATCGCGTTTTTATTAACGTTTATATGGTTTTGTTCTTTATTGTCTCGTATTGGTTATTTATAAACAAACAAATATAATTTTCTTCTTATTTTTTCTGTATATTTTCGAAGTGAATATCTACAGTCATACATAATCGAAAAGTAAATCACTTTCAATCTCCGTCGTCGAAGTGGAGACTAATTAACCAAAAGATCCATAATCAGTACCATGACTTCTTGTTTGGCTTCTATGTGAAACAAAACATAACATATATATGGACATAAGCCATACCATTTTTATACCCACCACTTTAAGATAGGGGTATACTCATTTTGTTTTTTTTTTCCAATAATATATTGTGAGGACGCAAAGTCGTCCCTCGTTTTGGCCTCACGTGTTCTCCGTTTTTGGTGAGGGGAAAGTAGTGCTAGTGTTAAGTTAGCAATAGGGTAGGTTAAGGTAGTAGTAAGAGTAGCACAGCGATAGGGATAGGTTAAGATAGAAATGACATAGAGTAGTTTAGATTCAGATAGAAATAGGAATAGAATAGGATAGGTTAAGGTATCAGTAGGGATAGACTAAGATAGCGATAGGGATAACATGGAATAAAATAGATTAAGGTAGCGGTAGGGACAGGTTAAGGTTGAAGTTTAGTTAAGATAGTCTGTTATAGACGCTCGAAGAAAGAAGTCCGCCTTCGACTCCCGAATCGCGAATAAAAGAACCTGTCTCAGCAACAAATAAATTTTCTTGCGGTTTTATTTCCTTCCTGGGCTGCTGGGCTCAGTCTCAGCCGTAGGAAAGAAACGAAACGTCCTCGCAATATATAAGGCCCAAAGGGAAGCATCAGAGCCCTACAAAGTATATATACTCTTAGTCAGCGTGAAATCCTGAATTGATTTAGCCATGTCTGTCCACCTGTGTGTCCGTGTGGGGTGTCTTGTTGGCACTCTTCTGGTCGCAAAAATGAAGATATCAATCTCAAATTTGGTAAAAACAATTGAGCCTAGTTGGTCAGAACAGAAGAGCGCATTGGAGCGTAACCTGAACGCAACGGAGTTTTTTTGAACAAAATTTTTTTGATTTTTGCTCTTTATTAAGGTTAAAAGGATGAAACTTTCGACTTTTGCTTTACGAGACACTTTGCTTTCTAAGTCTAAAAATGGAACCAATCGTGTCCACACAAAGTTACGAGTAATTAAATTGAATTATTATTAAATTGAATTATAAGGAAAACAAGACAAAACGTATAAAAGTACTTCCTCAAATGAAGATATATTGTCTGCCTAAAAATTGGTTCATTTTAAGATGGCTATGGTAGACACCGCGATTACTTTTTTCTTAATAACAACAGCGATATGGGTATTAAATAAAAGAACTTGGAGAGTAGAATTCGAAAAGCATAGTGGTGGGTATGCGAGATTAGGCCATCGGCGAATATAACTTTCTTACTTGTTATACCTCAGCGAATGATTATTGTTAAAATAGATTTAGCAAAATTCTGCGAAATTCTAAAGACCTAATAGGACATTTTCCGTGATTTATCACTTTTACAATTTTCTGTTTTTCTATCATCACTTCAAAGTTGGTTTTGTATATAGCATAAATTATTTTGCATTATACTTTATTTACCTCCACAAATATTTTAATTCACAGAACAAAACTATTCCCAGTTTCTAAATTTTAGTCAATTCATTTAATATTTGCCTTTGTCCAAAAACGAATTTTAAGCACAAACAAGAGAACTACGCGTGGCTCCAAACAGATTCGAACTTAAATAGTGACGTCCTACTAACTGCACCACGATGATCTTTGATTAATAGTATGCAATGGAAGTTGATGGAAACTTGACATAAAAAGTGGAGCAGAGCGTTCTCTCAGAGTGTATCTCTAGAATTGCGGTATAAAAAAATATATATAGGTCAACTATTAATACCATTAAGAAAGGTCAGAAAATCAATTAAAAAACTACTAAAAAAAATCGCAAAAAACCACAAAAAACAATTAACTCCCCATGCTCTAGAGTATACGCAGTTTATAACATGGTGTGCAACACCACCACAACACCACGCTTGAAAACCTTGACACGAACACCCATTTCGACCGGTTGGGTCCAAAAAATTCACACGAAGACCATTCGGGTCACATTCGGACACTTTCGGGTGGGCGGAGCAATGGCTTTTTTCAATCCGAACAACAAAAAAAAGGAGTAGTTCAGTCCACAAAACAATTTTTTTAATGTAGGGTATTCTAAAAGTCTATATTTACTGACTTCAACATTCATTTATATGAAAAAAGTGATGTAGGAACGCACATATACTACTAAAATATACTTTTTAAATAAGCTTTTATTTAAATTAAAAAATGGAAAATAAATTTTATTGGAGCCACTCTTACGTGAATATACAAAAGTGAAAAACACCGGTTTTGTCTCGGATAGGAAACCATGAATATTTGGTCAGTGAGCAGGAATGCTATTTCTTTTCATTGTAAACGCATGATTCTTATCAAGTTACAAGTTAACACCAGCATCTGTGTGATTCCTTCTATGAGGCAATTTAAATTTACTATGTAATGTCGAAACGTTGACTAATTTCACATCTGTGAATGGACATACTTTCGCTACTTACTTTACATAAAAACGTTCAATCTGATTCTTTAGAAAATGTTCAATGTGAAGATCTTTCCCTCCCGCATTTGTTGCTGAGCACTGCGGGTACCTGTCAGGTATATGCCTGGCTGAGCTACATTCTTTCGCCTCTTCTGAATTCTTCATCTGCATCTGGACTTATCTGGCATATTTTTTTCTATTTGTATATCCAGAAGTGCAGGTTAATGCTCTACAAACTGGAATGCATCCATTTTCAACTTGCTGGTGTATTTATCTACGCTTCTTCTGCTGTATCGCACCCTATAATCAACTCAAGTTCTATATGGAATATATTGGAGGAGTAAGATTTGAAAGACATTTCGGGAACTGTTATAATGACTGATGATTCTCTGATAACCATTACGTTTGTGCAAGTTCTTCTTTTTAATTGCCTTTATTGGTTTGGAGCTGGTCTCCTCTTTGTTCGACATCTTCTTGTTGCTTCACATGTGTTGCTTCACAGATTACATTACATAACTAGGAAATAAGAAAAATCTGACTTGGTAGATTTTAACTGTTAAATGCATGAATTTTTATTTTTGAAAGAAAAAAAATGAAATCGGTCAGAAAATGGGTGTACTTAACGATAAAAAGAACACATAAGAATTTTTTTTAAATTTTCGAGACACATGTTTACGTATTTCTACATTATCATGCTAAATCGTTGCGTGACTTCTAGGAATTTACTGTGTACAATGACATAACACTTCGAATATAAATAATACTTATCATTGCATTAGAAAATACAAAAATCCGTAAAATAATTATTTCTAGGATTTAAACATAAAGGAAAATTGTGTCGGCTTCATGACCACTTCACACTTCATTCTCTTTGAAAATATACGACATAGAAGAACGCCATCTTTTCGTACATTCATAGAGGGCTAAAGAAGAAATACGTTTTCCGACTGTTAATTTTGCTCCAACAAGCTATTACTAGGCCGACCTCTTTTATTGCCGTGTATATAAGATCCACATTGCATAGAGCATCATCGCGCAACTAAGCAATTGTAATGGAGTTTTTTTCCATAAGTATTCAAGGATTTCTTACGGCAAGGTCCAATGGAGGATAGAATAAACGGAAAAATTTTTGTCTTTTGAATCCTATATGATAACTACCTACGTAGCTGTCGATTAAGTCCTATCCTCCCGTGTGCATACTACAATCTTGCACTGTTTTTAGGCAAGAGATATTGATCTCTTGCTTTATTTGCTTGCCATATTGGCAGATATTGTCTACGTGTTGCGAGCGTATATAAATAGACAACAATGTAACAATCTTGTTGCCTCTCCACACCGTCGCTGGAAAGTCAATACTGTCATGATAAGAATTTTTTTCTCATAGGTTCTCCTAGGAATCGTCGTCTTGATTAAAATCTAAAATTAAGCAATCTGTTCTGTCGTACAGTTCTGACGCAATGGATCTCTTGTACCCATAAATAGAACGCGAGGAGCAATGGTATGTAAAAATTATGGAAAGGCACCGTATGATACCTCATTCTTAGTACCACTCTGGCTAATGGTAAGACGACATATATAACGCCCAAATCTGGTTGATCAGCTATCCTGTTTCTTCTATCTTCTTATGCGGAATACCCTTCGAAATCATATGCATATCCCGCGAAACTACATAAAACTAGTATCTTTAAGCCACACTTGTGAAGCTTATTCGGCAAATGTTTTCTCAGGACATGACCTATTTTTGTTAAACACGTTTGCTACTCTATTGAGAGGCGTTGGTTTACGGTAATAGATGAACATGTTTCAGTTAGGTGGGGTATTACAGGTCTAATCTTGCGTAAGCGATGATCGCATCTCGTAAGAAGCTCGCCATTGTTATTGAAGTGTAATATGCTTCTTATTGGCTCTAAACGATTCACGATGAGTCTGTTTGAATGGCGAGGAGGTTAGTGTCATCTACAATTTTTTGAAGAAATTCAAGAGTAAAATAATTGAGGAAATATTTATGGCGTACCTAGATTTGCTATAT